GCTACAGGGTGGGGGGGGGCTATGGGGAATTTGGGGCTAACTACAGCCCCCCCAAGCCCACCCTAGCTCTGCCCCTACTCGGGCAATCTGCTCTGCTGTGGGGTGGGCACAGGGCATGTGGCCAGTGCAGGGCTCCTGAGGGAAAGACAGCAAGGTGAAATGCCCAGAGTAGGGGCTGTGCTGGGGGTGGCTTGGGGGGCTATAGGCACACCAAAATTCACCTTTGCACCCCTGTAGCCACCCCTCCCAGCACCGCCCACCCTGCTCCTGCCCATCCCTAACGCAGCCCCCCCAAAGGGAAGAGGCTGCTGCTGCCCCTGGCCTTGAGCCCTCAGTGGGCAGCCAATCTTCACCCCATGCACAAATCCAGGGGGCACACACCCCCCATACCTCCCCTGGGGACATGCTCAGTGGCAGGGAGCTGCCCCCTGTACCTCCTGGATGAGCTGCCCATGGCTCTGTCCCATTCCCTGCCCTGGCCCCGGGGGCCCATTCACCACCCTGACTGGGTGGCGCCTGCCTCTGCTCCTGCACCACTCCCTCCCTCACCATGGGGACCTTGATCTCCCCCTCATGATCCTTCCCTCCCCCATGCCCCTTCCCCCCCCCCATCGACTTACCAGTAGGACACTGCTCTCCAAGCTGCCTGGCTGCATTCCTGTACATCAGCTATTGGATCAGGATTGGCTGATATGGATGGTTAATTATCAGCTATCAGTACTGGCCAAGAAAATTTTTATTGGTGCACCCCTACTGAACACAGTACACTATGGAGCAAGCACGTCCAAAAACAGGGATCCATTTTACCTACAGCAAGTCAGTCCATCCTGATTTTAAAAAAAGACCCCTGCAAATGTACAACATAGCTCTGAAAGCAGTTTAGCCCTGCCCCAAAGAGGAAAATTATCTTTAGCTGAATTGGGGCTAAAGTTGTTATACCTTCAGGAGCCTATCTTTCAAAGCTTGTTTTCAAGCTTCCAAATTTATTGCCTGGTCATTTTCTGGCTGCTACAGTGCAACTCACTCCAGGTTTATATTTTCTGAGCTCTGCATCTCTGTTCATGTGTCCATTGCCTTAGACATGTGCTCAGTACACGTCTCACGTTCAGTACATGATACCAAATGGAAGTGCTAATACAGGAAGCTCCTGAGGTGAGAGTTGTTCCAGTTCACAACTCTAAAATAGAGTTGAGAACTGGATATAGATCTCTCCCACTTGGTAAGCTCTCTGAGATTGTGACAAATCTATTTTAAGACTAAGAGAAATGTAGGTAATGGAAGCAAACAGGTGGATTAAAAGCAATCGTCTCAGCCTCTCAAGTAGACAGGCACTGTGATAGAAATGAACTTTAAAGAGTTCATGCTTCGAAGGAGCATAAAATATCACAGATTCGTTGATTGTTTTAGGGAAGGTGTTCATATGGGACAACACAGAAGAAAGTACTTGTGGGAGAAGGTGACAAGTACGTGATCAAGAATGATACTGCTAATAAAGCAAAGGGAAGCGAAGTGTGATGGTAGTGTGATAACAGCATTACATTTGAGACTTTTTAAAAAGGGACTTTAACAACTCATTAATCAAATAGCTGAGGTTATTTGATCTTAAATTCCCCAAATGCTCAATTTAAAATATTCTCTTTTCAGCAAAAACATGTTCAACAAAAATCATTACTCAACCCAGAAACTGCCAGCTTGACAGTTTGAGGATGCAGGCAGACACAGAAGGCCTAATTTCTACCAGCCTCCGAATGTGCCGATACAAGCAATGATACTACATTTTCCTATATTATGCGGACATCCCAAAAATCAAGAGACGAGATCTGAAAACTCATTCCAGGACTTCCAACTGTGAATCTGACTTCATAAGAAGCAGGGGGCTTTATAAAAGGTAAGGTATGCTACATTATTTCTTGGATTGATTTAACCCTTTCATTTTATGAGACTGCAAAAATCACTGTAGGAAGCAGAAAGTTTCCCTACTGTGGGTGCTGCTTTGCCAGACTTGTAGCACTTCATTCACCTGCATGATTTTCTCTTTGCCCCATCATACCTTGGACCTGGGATGTCAAACTCAGTCACTTCCAGGCTGGATTTGGACTGTGGGGCTCCTTGTGGGCCAGATCCAGACACAGTGATGGTGGGATCACGAGTGGTGGCCATGGGGGTTAATACAGCTGTCACTTGTCCCCTCACTGACACACTTTCCCAGAAGGGCTCCACAGCTTGGGTTTTGGTGGTGGGCCCTGCACTCTCATTCCCAGCTGCTCTGGGAGCCCCATGGGCCAGATGACATGGCTCCATGAGCTGGATCCAGCTTGCTTTGCTGCACATTTGACACCCTTGCATTACACAACCTGGACACTAGCCACCTGCATGGTCAAATGTAGCTGTAGTCCTTCTTGCCATGGTCTCAACCAGACTGGCTGCACTGCAGTTCTGTCCCATGGATCCCTCTCTCTCTCACCCACACAAGCACTGCTCACAGAAATAAGAGACAAAGAATTTTTTTTTAAGGCTATTACACTTTTGTTTAAGGTATTTGATAATAGCACTAATCATTTCAACACAGGGTTAATAAGCAGCCATAGTAAACATGCAGAGATGTGCAGGTTCAGGCCATCAATTTGTCCCAGCCGGCCTGTATTAATCTCTACGGAATTGCCCAATGCCTTTATTATTATTGCTGAACACGTTCAGAACAAAACAGTGTTGTAACTACAAACAAGAGAAGAAAGACATAGATACCGAGAGCTTCCGAAGCATTATACTCTTCTTCCCTGCACCACAATACTACCAGCAATGCACGCGCACGAGTAGGATTTTTAATTTTGTTCAGCTAAGTCCTGTCCTCATAAGCAGTGACTCTGCATTTTTGGTTTGTGGGGCATAAATCCAAGAGTGATCTCATCCAAATGTCAAACCACTTCTCAGATTGGGGAGAGACCTGTGCTAAGAACAGGTAAAAGCAGCAGAAAGAGTCTTTGGGTACAGTGCAAGTAGAGTCCTTCCAGAAAACAT